TCCCGGCTCCATCCTCCCGTTGGGCATTTGCAGAGAGCGATAAGGTCCCCCTGAGCCTTCTCCATCTGCCCCCAGCTCCCTCAGCTCCCCACAGGAGCCGGGGGGGTGGTTTGTGCTTGTCCTCTCTGGCTTTTGGAGGCCACCTCAGGGCTTGATGCTTCCAACCCCGTCGCTGCCCAGCTGCGATGGGGCCGAGTGACGAACCCGAGTCTTCTCTTTGGCTTCAGCTGCGTTTCCCCATCGACTGAACCTCTTCTACTTGGCCAACGATGTGATCCAGAACTGCAAGAGGAAAAACGCCATCGTCTTCAGGGACACCTTTGCAGAAGTGCTCCCCGAAGCTGCTTCCCTGGTCAAGTAAGTAACGAGGGAGGTGGAAGGTTGAACAGCTTCCCAAAACTGGGAACCATTCCATGGCTCCGTGATTAGGGAAACAGGAGGGAAAGGTGTGGCGCTGGTGTGGATCCCAGTGCCCCCCCTCCTCCACTTGCTGCCCCCCTTTGGCTTCTGGACCTTCCTCAAACCTGGTTTGTAAAGGCCCAGGGCACAGTAAAGCCCCAAAGCAGCAGCTCCCTGGGGGATGATGTTGGTTTGTGGCTCTTGGGAGCAGCAGATGGTTGAACATGGCATGAAGCAGGGAGAGGTCGAAGCTGGGCTGCTCTTTAGCTTCTGTTTAAGTGCCAGAGGAGAAAGGTGAAAATACCTGTAAGAGATGAGGAGGAGGGAGGGAAAACTGGGAATGTGGGGAAAGGAAAAGCAGCCAAAGCCACGTTGCTCTTTCCTGGGGCTGGAACCTGGACGCGGCAGGAGTTGGGGCTGCCCAGGTGGTCTTGGGAGAAGCTCCCTTGGACCCAAGGAGTCCTTCCAGAGCACCCATGGGTGCAGAGCAGCCCCTGTGCTGCCGTGGCAGTGGAATCATCCACTGCACAGAGAACTTCCCACCTGGTGGACCCCTCAAAGTCTCCATTTCACCACGGAGTTATTCCCAGCCTGGAATCAGGAGGAATCCCAGCGCAGGGTAAGGAAGAGCCACAACACTCTTGTTTTTCTCAGGGATCCATCTGTATCCAAATCCATTGAAAGGATCTTCAAAATCTGGGAGGACCGAAACGTGTATCCTGAGGAAACCATCCTGGCACTGAAGGAGGCTCTGAGTAAGTCCTTCCCCTCTGCACCCCGGGGTCCCCAAACTGGCCCTGAGCAGAAGAGGCTGGGTGGGGGTGTCCACAGGCTCCAGAGCAGCACTTGGGGGTTGCACCTCCTCTGCCTTGGGGCTTCGTGCTTCTCCGGAGCTCTGGATCCTGAGCCAAGAGCCGGCCCAAAGGGCAGAGGAGCACGATGCTGCCTCCTGCAGCGGCAGCTCCAGAGCTGCAGGAGCTGGGGAATCCGCTCTGGAGTCGGGAGCCAAAGGCTTCCGTTGCTGAGAAGTTCAGGAATCTCTTCATTCGCAGAGCTTGGGAATAGAAAAGGCTTCAGGGAGCCGGGAATTGTGGCTGTTCCCAACGTGGTTTCGTTTTTCCATGCTTTTGGCAGTTGCCTTTTCCTCATCACTCCCAGTTTTGACCTGGCTCAGCCTAAAGGCAAAGAGAAGCTGGAGTTAAACCTGGAAAACCATCCCCATGTGCTGCATTCCTGAGGCAACGGGGGTTCTCTTGGGCATCCAAAGGAACGTGGTCCGAGTCCTTTAAACCCATTTCCTGTTCACTCTCTCACTGTGCAACCATCCGGGCCCCAAACTCCAGCTCTTCCCAGGAATTCCCTAACCTCCAGCCTGCAAACCCTGCCCTGTTTTCCAGGTACCACTTTCAAAACTCAGAAGCAGCTGAAAGAAACTCTCAACAAACAACCGAATAAGCCGTGGAAGAAAGCACAAAGTAAGGATCCAATGGGAATTCTCTGGCCTGGTGTAGGGATTGAGGAAGAGGAGCAGGACTGGAGTAAACCAGGAGCAAACAGGCACCTTCCCAGCCTTGGGAGCAAAGTAGCCTGAGAGCAGCAGGTCCTGGCAGTGCGAGGAGGAACCTGAGGCCCACAGTGTGGTCCAGCAGGAAACACCTTTAAGGCTCCTCCAAGTTTACTCATCTCTTGTGTTCTAGAGCCTCGAGGGGTGTGTAAAGAAGGTGGAGGAACATCCATGTCCCGGGGAGCGCCCGGGTCAGGTTAAGCAGAGGGTTTGGAGGGTTTGGGACTTGGCTTAACAGCACCAGCTGCTTCCCAAGCGCAGCCTGTGGCGCATCCAGCGCGGGGAAGGGGTTAGTGTGTTGCTTCTCCTGTTCTGGGCAGAAAGTGATGGATTTCGGGTGGCTGGGAGTGGAGTTTGTCCCCTCACCCTGTTAATAAGACACCAGAATAGAAGAGTGAGAGGTTTTATGTGCTTGAGCTTAATAAGTACCAAGGGGAGGCCTGTGTGGAGGAAGTGCTGAGCTGCCCGTGTCAGCTCTGAGCACTTGGACAGCACCAGAACGTTCCCTGGGGAGAGAGAGATGGGAACTCTTGGATGAGGCTTGTGGACCACCCCTCACAGGGGTGTCTCCTCCCAAGAGCAGAGCTGGGGCCGGGCACTGGGGGCATTGTAGGACTTGGTGACTGTGTCCCAGGCTCCAGAGCACCGAGGGCCGGGTGTGGGCTGATGAGCCTCTGCTCGAGTTTGGTTGTGACATTTTGACCTGGAGCTGCTCTTTGTGGCTGATTTCTGGTTCCTTTGGGTTTCTTTATCCTTCTTCTTTCTCCCAACAGCAGCCACCAACCCGAAAGCTGCTTTGAAGTCCAAGATTGTTGCAGAATTCCGGGTGAGTGGAAGTTTTCGGGCGCACTGAACTCCATGCACGGGCTTGTGGGGATGTCCTCCAGCAGAGCAGGCTGGTGGGAGGCTCCTGAAGGGGAGACCTCGGAGCAGCTCCAGTGCCTGGAGGGGCTCCAGGAGACCTGGAGAGGGGCTTTGGACAAGGGATGCAGGGACAGGCCGAGGGGGAATCCACGGGGATCCCCAGTTTGTTTGTGCATCAGCTCTCGTGTGGAAGCCACCTCAGAGCAGAGGCTGCTGCTCGGCTCCGAAGCAGCCTCGTGCCATTCCCAGTGGAGCTGCTCTTCCATGGGATATGATGGAATGTGATGCTTGTCTTGTCGCCTCCTCTCACAGCCCCAGTCTCTCATCGATGAGCT